CATTTAATCCCCTACAGGTTCCTTTACTTGTGAGGGATTTCCATTTTGCTGCTGCAATTGCCAGAAAAGCTTGTGAAATCAGAACAGATCTTGGGTTTAGCGTGAAGATGGAAAAGGAAACTGCTTGTGGTGGCATTTGCTAACAAGAGTAGCTTAAGCGGCCAGCACAAGTAAATAGTTATCTAGTTTACAACTTTCATGCTCCTTAGAGGTTCTTAGCCTTAATTTCCAGAAGGCTTATGAATGTACTTCTTTGTGCTTCAAATAGGATTGTCAATTCTGGTACGCAAAGCTGAAACTCACACTCAGACCTTTGCAAGATGACAGACTCGGGGTGCATGGGTGTGTGCATGTGTGTGTGGGTGCAAGCACGCACACCCCAACCTCACCCTCAGCTCCTTCCCTCCTCCTCACATCACTCCCTCTCCCTCCATTAACCCGTTGATCCATCACCCAGCTGCCCACCAGGTCACAAAGGGAGGTGAGGGTGACCCTCGTGCCGTGCCAGGGCTGGTCGGGGAAGGGGACACCTCTTGCTGGCGTCCCGTACTCCGGGACAGCACTGCAGCCCTGCAGCCTTCCCCTGCCACCCAGCAGGATGGATCCATCCCCTCCCCACCCGACGCACGGCACCGTCCTGGGCAGGGAAGCGGAGGCATCCGAGAGCTCCGAACTGACCAGATTCACACTCATCCGCACAGGAACGTGAGAATACCTGTTCCTAAGCCTGCAAACCAATTGCTTGAGTGTGAGCATTGGCCATCCTTCCCCTCCTGTCAGCTCCTGTCGAAGAAAGGACAGGGAAAGGCACAACTGCCTTCCGAAGCCCTGGCCCACCTACTTTTTGGACTGTACTTGTACACTGCTGTGTTTGCAGCACAGGGATCTTGCAGCTTCTTTTATTTACAGTATATTCCCCTCCTAGCAGATCATCTCCTACGGCCCTGCGCCAGTCTCCGCATTGCTGGGTGTCACTCTTTTCCATCCCACTCTCCTGTATAATTAGAAAACAACCAAAGCTAGAGTATGTACTGCATATTTGTAACATTCACTAAAATACTACGTGGAAAAGCTCACGAGTTTAAGCACAATGCTGTGAATGCCAGTGCTGAGTGATGGTTTTAATCGCCACAGCCCCAAGAAGATCTGGACGTCGCTAACACCGTGGTACAGCCATAAATCCTTTCCATGGAAAACCATGACTAAAAGAGGCTCTGGGTGGAGGTGGAAACACATGCAGATAATTAGAATTTGATGAGGATTTATAAAAACTCATGTTATTGTATTTGAGAAAATCTGGATTCTTCATTTAAAAATATTCAACAAACTTTAAAACAGAAATGCTTTATATCATCTTTCATATCAATACATCAGAATTTAGTGAGATTTAATATAACAATTCAGAAGACTTAAATGAGGTATACAAAATTCATAGCAGATCCGTTTTTTAACTGATGTCATTAGCTCTTAATCTATGACTAAATGTCCTTCTCAGAGGGAAGGTTACTGAGCAGAGGAACATTCTCTTTGAAATTTCAAATGCCATTTATTACTGTGTTCAGCATGACTTGCTTTTTAAGCATATGGACATGATTTACAGATTTTATAGCCAGAATAATAATGCTAAAACTTCCTGTTATGGTGTGTCTTAATTTTTACATAGTAAGGGAGGTCTTTAATATGATATTTGGATTATGGCCTCTACATATTCCTGTGTACAATAGAAATGAGAATACTTAAAGAGTAATTGTTAATTCTAAATAAACACACATGAAGTTTCTAAAAACATCAGCTTTTATGAGTACTCAGCTTTCACTTGCATGTGCTTTTTGCAGGGAGGGGGCAGCGGAAAAGACTGAATGAGAATAATAGCAAAGTATGCACGCTGCATTTGAAAGACTCAGTAAATCTCTATCTACCCGCAAAAAATTTACTTGACTTCTAGAAGGACAGAGATGTGTGTGTGCTCTTTCTTACAAAATGCCAGTAACACTGAAGAAATTCAAGCAAATCTTGAAAGTACCGCTACCATTTACTTCAAAAGCAGTTGTATGTCATGTGCTGTGACATTGCTTATAGCAAGCATTAATCATAGGAAGGTTGACAGACCATATATAAATCCTGTCATACTCATATACATTGCAAACATATAAATCTATATGTATCCTTTGGGCATCAACTCCAGCTGACTCTTAAGGTCCCTTCCTGTTTTACAGCCAAAAAAAGATGTGAAATCTGCCTGGGGCTTTTTTTGTTGTTTTCTTGTACCACTCTAAGCCAGAAGTTAAGCTATTTAAATCAAGAGTTATTTTGCTTTACAATAGTGTAAAAAAAAGAAAGGGAAACCTTGAAAACCCAAACAAAAATTTGTGGAAACTCGTTCAGCTGCCAGGTTCCTTTGTGTTTTCTAAATACTTGATAAATGCATTTCAACTTTAAAATATCAAAGACGTTGTCACCTTCTAATTTTGGACTCATGGAGTGAATTGGTCTCTCTGGAACTACAAGATGGTTACCAGGACAAGTGAATCTATGTTCTCATTTATTACAGTCTAAACTGTTTGAAAAACAAACAAAATACTTGTTTGAAAAACAAACAAGTCAGGGGTTACAAATGATGTGCTGCTATTAATTTTATTTCTGTCAGACTCCTACATCAGCAGTTACTCAAAAACTACAATAAAAACTTTTCACTTGGAGAGGGGGGGAAAGGTCTGTTTTAAATTAAGTGAAAAGGAAACTGGTCCTTTAGCCAATAAAGCAAAAAGAGTACATAAAAGGATGCTGTCAGGGCTTGGTCTGTATTTTGACTTCTATGCCATTAACACCCTTCTTTGTTTCCACCTTTCTCATACTTTACTACTCAATACAAAAGGTCCTCCCAGGTTGAGAGCACTGAAGATTCATGACTTCACGCGAACTGCTTCATTTCTTAAACATCAAAAGCTACCTTAAAATGTTTATGGCTGAATAATCAATGATTTAATTCTAGTCTTCATTAGTATAGGCTATATATTTAAAAACAGAACAGTGGTTATATAAAAAATATCCAGTTATTGTGAGTGATTATAAATTACGGGCCAAGAGAAGAAGGTAACAAAATAGGAAGCATTCCATCTAGTCTTCTGCCCCACCTGTTTTGCTAAGTGGTGTTTTTAATTGGTGCCTCTCACATGTGGCTTAGTATCACAGGTTCATCTGAAATGGTGATACAAGATACGCAGACTAACCCATCAGTTTCTGTTAGGTGACTCATTGGCAAAGCATTTACCCAAAACTTTCCCTTGAACCTGGCTCCTGCTGTCTAAGCACACCCATGAGGCTCCTCTGCTCTTCTTTCTTTCTTGGGAAAGCGTTTCTTGCTATGAATGAGCTAACTGTTCAGAATTGTGTTTGAATACTCAAGTATGGTTCCATAGTGGTTATTCAGCTTCATTTCTGAGAATAAAATTAACAATACACGTAATGAAACCCAAGGAAAAGCTCAACATATTCACAAGAACCATGCAACGCTTCTTATCGATATTGTCTCCATAATGCACGGCAATATTTTCCTGTAGCTCACTTACAAAGGCATATAATGAAAATTCCTTTAAAACCATCTGGCCTCTCTGATCTGGCATTTCCCTATGCATCCCATTTTAAAACCACCCACAGCTCACTCCTGAAGATTCCGTAGCTAATAATGCCAGTGCCTCTCTACCTGTCCCCTGGAGGCCCATCACCTTGCTCTGCTCCACATTAATCAAATTAAATTCAGAGTGCTTGTTTCCAGCCTGCACAAAGCTTGAAATCTGTGGCTTCCGCTTCAGACTTCAAGGAGGGTTTGTGTGTCTGGAAGCCTCTCTGAGTCTTGTCAATTCTAATAGTCAAATAAAAGTTACTGCTTCCTTCACGGACCTTACCAAGGTAAGGCTTTTCAAGGCCACAATAACACTATCAACATAAAGAAATCCTTATTTCATTTCATGGATTTTAAGGTATAAGCACAATGAATTATTCCTGCTTTACAGTTTAAATCCGGATATACACTATCAAAATATTGGATAGTTCATGATTAGTTTTTATAAGAAACTCCATTTTCTTTCAATTCTAACTATAGCAACGAGGCAGATATTACACTAATGGGTATCATGAGCACAGAAAAGAGTGTTGATACAATGTTCTGGAGCACACATGTGGCAGGAGCATTAGCAGTAGGAAATAAAAAATACCAGGTGCAGGTTCTTCAGATTTGCACTGAGAATATTTTGCATCCCCATCAGGACCAACACTTTTTAAGTTTCCAACAGCTCCATCTGCTGTTGTCACTGCACCTTTTCTTCCCTCCACCAAGTCCCTACGCTTGTTGAACTTTCAGTTAAGCCCATTTTGTCAGCATTTGAGTACTGAAACCCATCTGAAAGTTCCGGCACTTCAGTTTGTGTCGACTCTATGACATAAATTTTGAGGATTTTTTTTAAGAGTTAGTCATGTACGGTGTTATAGGTACAAACAGAAGGCGTCTAAGAAAGACAGGCTTCTCACACTGCTGATGCACAAATGCTAAAGCACTTTGATGTGGCCTCAAGGCTGCAGAAATGGAAGTTTAGATCTGCAACTAAATAGACAGCGAAATCCGGTAAAACTGAGAATAAAAAGTAAAGCCAAGTCTGACCAGCCTGGTCAACAGGCTGTGGCTTCATAGTAACTGATACCAGATCTGTGTGTTACCGTATCTCATTCGATCCAGACCAGATACAGGCACACGACCGCATTTCTGCCAAACTAATCAGACGACTTGCTAGAGAGCTGATGCTGCTGGTAGGCTGGCTGTCTGCCAGGACAAAGGTAACCCGTCCTGCCGACTGACTTCAAACGTCAGGGAGAGCGCGGCCGTCGCTCTGCACTGCGTGCCCAGGAATTTTTTCTGCCCCATTCGGGGAACCCTTGAGTTGGATCACTGACTCTGCTGAGAAGGCAGAAGGCACCCAGCACCCAGCACCCAGGCCCCGCTTGCGATGACTGCTCCTGCTAGGGGTGGGGAAGGACTGCGAGACCAGGCGCTCAGGCACTGTAATGGCCCCTGCGTGGAAGTGGTGAACAGCTCATCTCTAGGTGAGGACTACTTGCAGCAACTGCCAATGCACCGTGAGCGTTGCACTGTACTGGTAAGGACAGAGACGGGACCTGTGTTCAGGCTTAGGGGACTGGGTACGTAACCCCCGACTCCTCTCAAACACTCGTGCTCCTCCCCACCTTCACTGTCCTGATTTGAGAGCAAAGGGAAGCTGGGCTCTGCGGCGGGAGAGCGTTGCAGTACAAGGAGGAGGGTGACTGAGGGATTGAGACCTTGCAGTGTGTGTGAGGCGTACAGGTTACATACAGTCATGAGACCCAACACACATAGGCTTGCTGATCAGCTTCTCACTTCTGTCAGCAATTCATCTGCCACAGAAGTATTCCAGCCTGCTCGGGAGATGCACCTGTAAAATGGAAAACTAACTTATTTTCTGGCATCTAAGAGAGAAATCTGGCTTAAAGAAAAGAAACCCTTTTTACAGTTTGTGTTTAATGGTCATTGCCTTCACGGACTACACTGCAGATTGTTAACCTTTACTTGAAACCTTTATTTTAAAAGTACATTAACATGTCATTTCATCCAGCTTCTGTGGGATTTCACGAATACCGGAGAAAAACTGTAAGAGGACCCAGGTGCTAGAATGAGAAACCCATGATTTTTCTCGGCTGCTTTCTGGGTGGTGTTGCAGCCAGATACCGGATTGGCTGTACGCAGTAGAAACCAGGCAAATCCAACCTTTTTAAGACATGATAGAAACCTGTTAGATCCTTCTTAATTCCTACCACGAAAAATAACTGCTGAGGTAGACAACTGGGCCCTCACTCCCCTTTGCAGATGTCTTAGGAGAAGTGCCAGGCTCTCCAGCACTACCTTATAAAAGTAAACCAAATGGAAGGACAGTTTTTCCATTCCTTCAGGACAAACATCCAAAATATTGCTTTCCTTCTCATTTTGGAGCACATTTAACTCCACCAGGATCAGAAACTGAAAATGCTGTGGCTTTTCAAACAGGGCGTTAGGCTGTCTCTGGTGCTCTTCTGCTTGGTTTCACTATCAATCTCACCCTATAGGCCGCAGTTTTCCATCCAGCAGCACTGCTTTTCACTAATGTTCTCCGTTCGGGGCTTCAGACAGTTTCTGCTTTCCTGAATCCTAGGAGAGAAAATGTCCTTTGCTGTGAGCCGGGTGTGTGCTGTCACACCACGATTCCACTTCACGAGATTTCTTTTCCAGCAGTGCGATGGCTCCCTCGCCGTAGCATCAGGCTCTGGAGCAGCATTGCTTCGCAGCTCTGTTGTGAACTGCTCTGTGAGCAACTGATCACCTGTTTTACTCGATTCCAATGTTTTGAAATAACAAATGTGCATGCTCTAGACATATTAAGTGTAAATAAATGCATAGAAGCAACGTCGTCCACCAGGCTGGGGGCAGAGCAGCAAACCCAGCCTGAGAGGAGGCCGAGAGGGAGGTGACAGAGCGGACTACCTGGGAGATAGTTTTCCTGCATTTTCAAGAACACCAAAGTGGTCTCCTTGAGGCAAGACAGCATCTGCTACCAGAACAAAGCCACAAGAGTCTCTTTAAGTCTCTTCCATCTTCTCTCTCCATTAACTCGATTTATGAGGGTGCTTTAGGGAGCATTCAAGGACCAGGCTTGGAAGCAGTAATTACTCTGCTGCCACTAGCTTAACGTCTTTACTCACCACTTTACATATCCCATGGTCTCACTCTGACCTTGTACATGCTTTAAAAGAGGGAGTGAATGCATTGAGTTCAGGCATGTAGAAAGGAAGAAAATTTGATTCTATCTTCAGCTGTTGCTCCCTTCACAACAGCTTCACCTCAGATCGGGGTGTGACAGCCTCTGGATCTGCCCAGGATCAGTGACAATTTTATGAATAAACAACACAACACCACGGCCAGCGAAAAGTGTGTGGTAGCCCGTCCTCATGAAACAGCCATGGACAGAAAATTTAGCAGCACCTTCACAGTGGCAGGGATTCCCCTCCTTTCCATTAAGGCTTTTCCTAGGCTCCTTGGTAGACCAATTTTTCAAGGTCGTTTGAATATGACAATGGGAGGAGGCTGCTAACACAGGGGGAATTGAGTTGGGCCGCTGATGGGTATGGCATTAAGCACAACTAAACACATTTAATGAAGAACACAGACGTCAGACCACCAAGCTAACATGCCAGGCCACAGGCAGGAAGCCTTGGCCACAATGCTTTTCCTGACCTCCTTCAGAAAGATGTTCAGAGCCTACGGCCAGCTGCTGAGAAAGCGTCGACTCCTCTCCAAAGTTCAGATAAATACAGAGGGACAAAAAAATCACAGCTGCTGTGGTATAGAGGTTTCTGAGATTAACTGGATCTGTCCTGTGGAAGGTTTTGTAGGTCAGCGCCAGTATTCTGGGTTTGCACCATGGTCAGTCAGCAACTGCTTATGGAACACATCAAAGCCCACTTGTTTTGCTGAAGAAAGGGGCTGCTATGTTGTACACCACCATCCATCCCAAGAACTACAACTTCTCTAGACAGCCCACAAGAAGAACCAATATTAAAAAAAAAAAAAAATCATTTTCCAAATAATTAAAACCATAAGTACTGTTTTTCTGACAGTTAAAATTGGAGTTACTAGTACAGCCTGATTCTTCAGGGCAGCCTGACACCAAAGGAGGTCACCACAGTCATTTACCAAGGATCACACCACAGGGTGCTCCAGCTGAGAACCTCCAAGTGCTTTCCTCCTTCTCCTGGCACTTCTTTGGTTTTTTTTCCTATACGCTTTACACCCAGGCTGCAGTTTCTTCTGAGAACTACAACCCCTACGGCCCCCTGGTTCCTGGTCTCTTCTGCTTCCACAGCAGGATACCTGCCACTGAGGGTAAGAAGCCTCCACGCTTCTGGCCTCCTACTCAGCTTCTCATCCTGAAATTCAGGTTCTTGCCACCCGGGAGGAGCACCTGATGATGAAATCAGATGTGCCAATATTGGTCTCGCCTTTCTGAATGCATGAGGAAAATTCAAAAAACGAGCAATGTTTTTCTTATTCAGCACACTAACATCTTTCAGTCCCTAGAATGAAGTGCTTTATTTTCTCCATGGTCTTTCTTGGGATCAGTGCCTCCAAACCATGTCTGTCCAAGTTTCAACCTAACCAGGAATCCAGCTAGCACTGCAGCCTATGTCAGCTTGTACCATCACTCACAACACACACATTTGCATAGAAGTGGTGACAGAATCAAATCCAACTAAATTCATATCAGATATCTTGGCAAGGAGAAGTAACTGCCACACATAATTCTGGGAACACATAGGCAAGGTACGAACAACCCTAGCCTGGTGAGGTAACAGCCTTCTTGGCAGTCAGCAGCAGCCGGGCCGGTGCTGGGGCTGCTAACAGCTGACTGCAAAGCTCCTTGAGCAGACCAGAAATACACAGCCAGGCGATGCCAGCCCGGGGTGTCAGAGCACAACGCACACAACCCAGCCGCCTTTCCCAAAGTTCAAGCTCCTGGACTGTCTGCAAAAATCACGGTATTTTTATTTTCGCTCAGTGAGAGCAAGCTTCCAGCACTCGTGGCAAAAGACTTGAGAACATTTCGGGTGCGCCAGCTGTGACCGAGCCAAGGAGTACACCAGATGGGCTTCGCCACCGAGGGCAGGGCAAAGCCTTTGGAGTTTTCAGGCAATTCTACCACTCCACCGCGCGCAGCTCACTCTTTTTCACCACTTTGGCGCTGAATCACTGCGTTTTTTCGCGTAGAAGATTTTTTTGGACTGCGGCCGCCCG